TTAACAGCAGGACTACCAAGGCGATGAGCAGCAATAAACCAAGGAAATGTTATAAAATGTTTTTTTTTTTCAGATCGTCCAAATACTAGTTTCAGACTTTGAAGAGAGGCCTGCCGGATTTATCACATCGTGATGTTTAAATGCCTGTCAGGCTTAAAGAGAAAAAGAAAGACGACCGGCTGCTCACTTTGCAGTGCCGACGAGAAGACATTGAGGTCCGGAGAAGCAGCGAAGCTCACAAGTCCACAATCAGCCTCTTCTAGTTCTGAAGTTGTCTTCACCTTCGAAAATGGAAATGTCTTCAGTAAGAAGAAGCAATCTATGCAGCCTGAGTTAGCCGAGAAGAAACGCGATGCCACCGGTCCTAAACTGCTACTTCCTATTATTACAGTACTTGGGAGATCCGAATGCCAGACAAGATGTCCACAAGGGAAAGAAACTGAGCATTAAAGTTGTTTTTGGTTGATTTTTATGTACACTCTTCGTATGAAAGAAGACTTTGCTGCTGTTGTTATTGTTTTTGCCATCATTGCAAACTCTCTGTGTTTACATCATATAAACAGAGAATTAATTTCCTTTAGCTTGTTGCCAAAATGTTACGAAGGATAAAATTTGTATCTTGTAGAATAAGATTTTAGCGACAACTAAATTTCCCTATTTGGTAAAGGAAACATTTTGCCCGATAGCCGGACTTAAATCAAATCCACACTCGAGTTTTGAATCGAGTTGAGATTGGAATGGATTCGTTTTAAGGGAGACCTTCTGATAAAGCTACTTCCTATACGCCTTCCAGATGAAAGCCTATATGTGCTCCTCCAAAGTCAAATGTTTGCAAAAAGCTCAAATTACCGCTGAAAACAAATTAGCTTTGAAAAAATGTAAACATAACTTTTCTGTGTCTGACCAAGTTTCCAGATACTAAACAATTTTTTGTACGTTACGTATACAGGACAATCAAATACACAACGAATAGAAAAAAGATCAATGGATTCTTCTTTTGTATTCATCTTCTGTTTGATATTAGTAACTTCGTGGATGGTATTTCAATTTTCGTTGAATTTAAACCAGCAGTAAAACTAAAATAGGATCTGTATTCTGGCTGCGTTTTATATAAAGGTCCATAACGTCATCAAGAGTGTTCCTCTCATAATTGAGCTTCTTAGCCTTGGAAAACTTTCCAGAAAGAGAGCTACTCAAAGGTTGGTGATAAATCAAGAGAAAGAGCAAGCGAAACAAATAATGTAAAGTCAAGTTTTAAATAATAACATGGCTAGGAATCCTTGAGGCAAGATACACACCAATGCTATAACGTACAGTCGAACCTCGATTAAGCGGCCACCCCACAGGGGACCCGAACTCTATATTAGCAGTAACAATACATGTGCTATTATTTACCTGTGTTCCTGTGTCGTTTTGAGTCTTTTAGAAGGGATTTGAATGAAG